GTCGAACATCTCGAAACTGTCTATTGAACAAATCAACGTGAAGATTAAATAAATCCATAATAAACTCATATATTCAACCATGACATCAAAAAAAGGAGGATTAAGTTTAATTTCAGGTTCTTCACTTTGTCTTAATAAGGAAGAATTTAATAATTTAATAAATGTTCTGAAGATTTAAATACACATAAAGAACATTGAAAATATAACTTACATATTTAAAGACTCCAATTTAATTTCTATTACATTATAAGGTTGAGGTATTTCAAATTTAGCGCTTGCATCAGAGATAATGATTTCTGAAAGATTTTTAACAACTTGAGAAATATCTGGTCGTGATTTTTCATTGTGTTTACAGCAATCTATTAAAATACAACACTTTACTTTAATAATTCATAATAAAACAATATAAATAATTTTAATAAATCTCTTAATTTTTACCTGTGTATATTTCCTTGTATTTATGAGGTGTTCTAGGTATAGTCATTTCTCTTTTAGCCTTTATAATATTGTTTAACAAACTAACATTGACAAGGATTTCATTTCAAAAGGAGGAATACCACCAGATATCTCCCAAAGAATAATCCCTAGACCAAAAATATCAGAACTCTTATTGCTAATCGTATTAAAGAGTTCCAAATGTTTAAGATCCATGTATTGTATCGGGCCAAGATAATTTATAAGAACACTTAAGGAATCGGATATAATTTTTGTTAATCCAAATGCATTTAATTTAATGATCCCATTATGTATAAAAATATTTTCAGAGTTCTAATTATAAAAAAAAAAATTAAATAGTCCATTTTATGAAATTTATTATTAAATAAGAATATTAAAAAAAAATAATTACAAATCTCCCATGAATGATATTATTAAAATGTTAAAACATCAAAACATTTGCAATTTGTCTTGCGAGATTTAATTTTGTATTCCAATCCAATTTTTGGAAATTAGTTTTCAAATATGACGAAGAGAACCTTCATTAACATATTCGAGGATAATCATATAATTATTAGTATTCTCTATAAAAATAAAATTAATTTTATAAATAAAATGAATAAGTAATTAACATTATATTAATCATAATATTTAATTATTTTTATTATATTAAGCCTAATATTTAATTATTTTTACCTTTTTTAGTGATACCATAGAATTTTAGAATACTATTATGAATTTCCAATTTTCGGTGTTTTTTAATCTTTTCAATTTAAAATAGAGAAATTGAGAATATTAACAGGAGACTCAAATTATATACCAAATAATTTTATTTAACTCACTTCATTTATTAAATTGTTCAATGTAAATTTATCATTCAAAGAAACACATTTGAGAGCAATAGTTTCTTGAGAAATTTTAAAAGTGGCTTTAAAAATATAAGCAGAAATCAATTTTACATTCTGGAATTCAGAATATTGATAAAACGGGATATTTTCTTTTTGAAAAGCATCTTCATTAATTAAATTATCCATCCAGGTCTCTGATTCTTTCCATTTTTCGTTTTTTGGGACATGGTTATAAATTAGTAGAATTACATATTTATTATGTTCTTTAGTAATACAGAGTCACATTAAATAAACCATCCTGTCTAATATAAAGTTCATAATGCAGCGTTGTCGTTGGACTGTGCAGAGCAAATTACTTTTTTAAAACATAAATAACACAAATCTATATATCTATAATGATAATAAAAAAAATACATTGTTACACTCTTCATAAATTATTTACAATTGCGACTAAATAAAAGATTTGCAGATCTGTTGCAACGGGTCTCATTTGTATAAAAATCTACATTGAGTTATTAATTTGTAAAGTTTTAATTTTATAAACTAGTTAAGAAAAAGTACAGTACGGACGTTGTTATAATTTTTTTCAATTCACACTATCCTGCTTAGTGCAGCGATTGATAGTTTTCCTTTATAATCTATTAAAGTAAGCTTCTTATAACTTATGTTTGCAATGTATAAAATATTTCATGACTCCAGACAAATCTGTTATCTCAAGAATTTCACCAACTCAAATATATTTAAAATTACATAATCAATTATTACAAAAGAACAAGTAGTTGAAATTGCTTCTTTGTCTTATAAGAAAGAAGTTCATATAAAATTAATTATCTTCCAAATGGATTCAACCTTATCCTTCGCGGAAGCTGGAAGGATTTAACCCTGAAGTATTTTGCAAATTAGTAATAAATTTTTTTATTGTAAAAGCAAAATCCTTGGTGGTGATTGTAATCCTATGGTCAGTATTCTAAAATGTTCTGAAACAATTTAAGAAAAATCGAAAAATCAAAAACTCTATTCTTAGTCTTGTAAAATTTGCAAGATTTTCTATTAATAAGTAACTACCCTTGGTATGGTCCAAATTTTGTTAATGATTTATTTATAACCGAAATGATGATTATGAAGTTTTTCAAATGAACCGAATTAAAAAAAAAAAAGGAATTTAAAGAAAATACTTTAATTTATTAACATATTTTATATTGTATCTTTTAATTATTTAGAATCAATTAAAAAGAATATAATAATTTTATTATGAATTTTTAAATTCATATTGATTAATTAAAGGATTCACAGAATTATACTACCAAGATATACAATCATCACATCATTATATTTCAATTTCGAATATGAATATTAAAAATGAAGAATAATCAATAATCTATGGAATGATATTTTTTTATTCATTATTTGTTTCGTCTAAATAATAGATTATCTAATAAATATTAATGAATTTTACGCATATTTTTCCTTTTTTATTTATTATTTCCTTTATTATTATTATTTATTTTCCTTTTAATTTATTTTTCAATCCTTTCTCTCTTTTATAAACGTTAGGATATCGTTATTATTATTTTTATTTTTTATCCCACGAGCTGTGCGTCCTTTAGGCCGCCATTATTAGTTGCTATTATTGATTTTTTCAGTATTAATTTTTTTGACTAAAGTTGATCGTTAATGATCTTTAGTTTAATCTTTTAATATAATATCGATAGTATAATTGATTTGATTACTGTGATTAAGATTATTTACATTAACTGTTAACATTAAGAAGATTAAATCAACATAGTTTACTGGTGAACATCAACAACAGCACAAGATGCACATTCATAAATAAATACGCAAACACTTTTTAACATTTAATGACTACATTTTAAATATTTTTTAAAAAAAAAATTTTTGCCCAAAATATGAAAATAATTGATATTGAGTTTGTGATTAGTGTCAGAGAGTCAAAGATATCATTTTTATCATGCCGATAACAAATAATAATCATCCAATGATTGATTTGATATTATTTTGTCAGCACTTACTATAGTTTTTTATAATTATCATAGCGTTTAATTTTATATTTTAGTCATGCTTATTTATTATTATTTTATTCTTTCTTGATTTTGATTATTTAATTTAATTTATTAATTTCAGCAAAAGTAAATCGCATATTTCTCGCACTTCACGTACATAAGAGATATGTAAATGCAAATGAGTTTAAATTTGTATATTATTAAATAACGAAGAATTCAAAAATAATTTGAAATTTGAAAATAAATTTTTAATAATTTTATTCTTTATTAAACTCAGAAGAATGAACAATCGATCATTAATATCAACAACAATTATATAATAAATCATAATACTTGTATCGATTTGATTTAAAAAAAAAATACTAATAATAATTTTGGTAAATTACATATAAATCGTTATGATGTGATGTAGTGGATAAAATAATTTAAATAAATATAAGTCCATGACTCCATTTATTTTTTATTTAGATTCTTTCCGTTTTATCCTAATTGTATTGCAGTAATAATTATAAAACAAGATAAATTATCTTGAAACAACCCTTTTTTTTCCTTTTAAAGTATTCGCATGTACAAAATAAGTATCAAATGATTATCTAAAGAATCATCATAAAAAAATGAACTTAGATAATACAACAAATCTGCAAATTGAATTTTTTATCAAAAAAAATATCTAAAACTTATCGCGACTCAATTATTATTTATTATTTATTATTTATTATATATTATTTATTATTTATTATATTTATTTATTATTTAATATATTATTTATTAGTTTTATTTCTTTCTTAATTTTCGTTTTTGAATATAAAGTATCGGATTTCTAATTATTGATATATATTTTACATCACACGTTCCAATCCAACTAATCCACCGTATCAATAATTTCTTCAAAAAAATTTTCAGGCACTTCGTTATTTTTCAAAAGATATTCTTTGTTAGCATCGATATTGTTCTAGCACTACTTCGTAGAAAATACCAAAACAATCAAAAGAAATTTTTTCTCCTATTTTACTAATCCTAATATTCATAACAGTCTTCATCAGATTCATTCTCTTACTCTTCCTTCACCTACTTCTTTTAATTCACTTAATTAATCATTAATATAATTAATTCTGTTCCTCTATCTTCCATTCCTCATACTTGTTGATACGATTGAACGTTAAAGAAATAATAATAACACAATCAATACCAGAGCTTTACTTCTTCCCAAATTGATGAATTAGATACTATTAATAATTAGTTAACTACTACTAATGACAATCGTGACAAAACAACAACAACCACAGCAACAACCATAATAAAAGTTATAACAATATCAGCATTTCATTCCTTCACAACTTTTGTATTATCACACGAACTTCTCATTCCAAATCACCAAAATTTGGTTAGATCCACTACAAATAATAAAAAACAAAACAACTGCAATAATAAAAATAAAATAGAGAAGAGGGAGAAGATAACAATAAGAAAATGTACCTTTAGAAAATGCCGTGGTTCCTGTTTTAATAATAAATATCCACAAACTTCAAAAGTAATTGACACTTCAATTTTAATGAAAGTAGCAAGATTTGGATAATCCCTACTCTCCACCTCCTCCCCCTATTGCTAAAAATCTCCCCTTTACATCACCATCAATTATCAATTCATTCACAATCAATTTAACAACAGCAGCAAAGTAACACTATCTGAAGAGACGATGGTTATTATCACCAAACAACAACAATTTAATCAACAACAACAATATAATAAACAACAACCATGTAATATCGAAAAATCGAACTTGATCCTCCCCACCTCATGTGTTAGTCCCATGTGCATTCATTGTCAATAACAGCAAAAAATAATAAATCAATCTAATTTTACTTTAAGTGTAATTGGAGATGGAGGAAATTTTAATAATAATATTTCATTCACAACAAAAAATGTCTCCTCCTACTCCTCCTTCAATAGCAACAACACAACCATCTATTCATTATTACCATATAACCAATTCAATATTATTGGATGACTACAGATAATGGATTTTATCAACAATCTTCTCCTTTTATTCCACCTACAGCTGCTACGACTATTATGCTTCACCACTACCACCGCCCTCACTTCATTCACCTTCTTCGGCACATCAAAATTGGCGACATCAAAATATTTCAAATATTTCAAATAATTTAAGTACTCCAAACTCATCATCTTAATATTAATGGTATTCGTAATAATAAAAATATTATTCCCAATTTTCAAAGGTCAGCCCAAACATTCAAATTGTGACACCACCGATACGCCTTGTTGGTGAGGTCCGGAAGGTGGTAAGTTATGTAATAAAGCCGGATTATATCTAAAACAACATGGTCTCAACGTTCGGTTGGTTCACAAGAAAAGAATGTGATATTTTCACCTTATATTAAAAGATGTGGTGTGTGTGTGTAAAAATAAAATGAAGAGAAAGAAAAGGATGAGTCGGTCTCGAATAATTGAAGATAATGATAAATTTAGATTGAAAGAAATAGATCAATGTTTATTATTATTATTATTATTATTATTTCCATATTATTATTATTATAACATTTTTATTTTATTGAATTTACGAATAATCTTATTGTTAAGAGTATGATTTATCGTTATGATTATTGTATTATTCACTTCGTTTTCATTTTTTCCTATTTCAAAAATGTTTATTGAGTTTCTATTAATTTGAAGAAAAATTCAAATTATGCCTGAATGCACATTTAGAAAAAAAAGTTAAATTTTGTTATAAATTTCTTAGAATATTTAGCAACTTAACAATTAGTTGTGGAGAGAATATGTAAACATTTTTTAACTGTTAAAGTTATTTATTCATAAATTTAAATCGGAAAAGTATAAACTCAAAACTAAATATTTTATAATTATTTAAGATTTTCTAACAATTTTAAATACTTCATAATTAACAATAGAAAAGTAACGTGATGATGTTCTTATAGGTATTTCATAATAATTACCATTAATATCACAGTAATTTCTATTACCTAAAGTGAAATTATATTCTTGACTATATAAGAAAAAATCTCCAAAATGTGGACCAACGATATTTTGATATCTTTTGGATACATTCAATATTGCATAGTTGATATTATTTACTCTGCTAAGAATAGAATCTTGAATTTTACCATTTTTTAATGAGAAAATAAAACTATCTTTTGTTTCCATATATTTACCCCTGTAAAGAGTATTATTCCATGCTAAAGGATTATAACCTCCAAGTATCTCATCAGTCCCTTTAACTTTTGCTACCACAACTGTTTCAGCATGCCCATGGCAAATATTCCAAAATGTTTGTGGAGTTAACCCATCTTTTGTTCCACTTAAAATTAATTGAAATTTATATGGAATATTTGTTGTTGAATAAGTAGTTATTTTACGATCAATCCAACTAGAAATTTCTGCTGCATGTTCTTCAGAAACGATTGTTGAAAAAGGTTTTAAAGGTTCTTCAGTACGAGGGGGTAATTCTGTAACCAAAGTGGATCTTGCTGGCAAGATACTTGACTTTACTGGTCGATCAGGAGCTATCATATACTGATTGATATCAAACCAAATTTGTTTGTCAAGAAGTTTTTTATAAGGCCTAATTTTATCCAAAATTTCAGTATTTGAGATATGAAAATAGCGAATAAGTGGTAGACATTGTTGTAAAGTGGTATTTTTTAACGTAAAAAAATTTTCCTTGGACCA